TTTTTTTTCTTTCAAAATTAAGCCATTTTTCACCACGGTTGGAAGTTCCAACCGTGGTGAAAAAGTGGTTCATGGTCATGAGTTCGAATCTTGATGTTGTTGTTGTTCTACTTCTTTATTTTTTATATTTTATTAAAATACATACAACAACGGATATTTAATACAACGGTTGTTGTATGTAGGGCACATGGTCATGAGTTCAAATCTTGTTGTTGTTGCTTTTCTAGTACTACATTTTTTATATTTTATTAAAATACATACAACAACGATTATTTAATACAACCATTGTTGTATGTAGCGTAATTATTGAGTTTCTTCATTATCCTTAAATAAATCTCAATCGTCCATTCAAGTGACTATCAATGGTTAAGACACCACCGTTAGCGATCTGTGTAAAACCTAAAACTTAGACAAACTTCCAACTTAGACGAATTTCATCTTCTACCTTCAAACCTCATCTTTCATTTATGAAACTCTATTTCTCCACTAAACCAAGCTCGAAAATATAATTTCTTCCATAAGCAAAACTCGAAAGCATCTATTCTCCATCTTGAATGAGACAAGGAAAGTATTGATTCAAGTTAACAACATTAGTTGTTGTTGTTCTTATTGTTCTTTTTTTAGTTATTTTTGTTGTTCTTGTTTTGTTCTTATTATTATTTTTCTTGTTGTTGTTCTTGCTATTATTGTTGGTGTACGTTGTTGTTAATGTTTTTGTTCTTTTTTTTTTGTTCTTCTTCTTGTTTTTGCTGTTCTTGTTGTTTCTCTTCTTATTCTTGTTGTTGTTGTTGTTCTTGTTGTTATTTATGTTGTTCGTGTTGTTCTTGTTGTTGTTCTTGCTGCTATTGTTGTTCTACAGATATTTTTTATTTATTAAAAGACATACAACAACAGTTAAGTTAACTAACTGTTGTGATATAACATAAACTTTCTAGTATACTACAACAGTTCTAGGACCATGATTGTAAGTAACACATTTACAACAACACTCTACACATCAACGCCTAGACCTGTGTGATTATATGGGTTTTCCAACTGTTTTTAAATGGGTTTTCCGTAGTAGTGATACTAGGAGTATGGAATACTCGAGTGAACCACTCTGGGCCATGAGTTTTATTGGAGAAAGGAGTTGTAGACTAGGTGTAGTTGTGGCGATATGCAAACATCTTGACATACCTTGTAAAATCCTCTTGCAAGGTATGCCCATTACAATAGGAGTCATTAAGGCCAATCGATCACCTTTGATCCTATTATTCTTGATCTCTTCATCTGCATCTTTTGGTCTGTCAATTTGTAGAGATGGTTCAAACATGGCATTGCTCCATAGTTGAATGAGCCAGTAGGGACCAACCAACAAAAAATTGGCTCCAGGTTTGATGGTTTTGAGAGAATCAACAGATAACCCTAAGTTCTCATACAGAGAACCTAATATCAGTTGGCTCAGATAAATATTTCGACTTCATGTAATTGGTTAGCTAATGTAAATAATCTTTTCGCCACCTTGAAAGACTTACAGCAAAAGATGCAGAGTGACAACCACAACGCCAAGAAAGAAATATGTTCTTCATCAGATACATCTTTAGTGGCAGTGTCATAATGGTCATTTATGTAGTGTCCTAAGCTGAATCGATTAACGTTGAAGTTAATGGTATCCTCATTCCTTTCATTTGGGTAAAAAATCTCCCTAGTTGGTCGAAGGCCATTAATGGCCAATATGTAGAAAATGGTAGGTGTGATCATACCGCAAGGGAGTTGAAAGATATTGATGGTGCTCTCCTAGAAATATAAGGAAGTGATACATGTATTTTGGAAATAAGGGGGACCTACTTTTGACAGTTGAATCAAGTCATAAATCCCCATGTGTTTCTAGGTTTGTGCTTTCTTAATTTTGACTTTTCCTAGCCAAGAGATGTATTCTTCAGCGTTCTTGAGCAAAACACACAAAAAGTGTTGCTAATATAGACTAAGTCTATTGGATTCGTTGCATCAACAACAAATTTGTCCTTAGGATTTGTAGCATTAGCAACAAAATTATCCTTAGGTTTCTTTGCTTCAGCAACAAGTTTAGCCTTAGACTTCTGGGTTAGATCAATGGATTTTTCCCTAAGGTTATCCGTACTAGCCGTTGGATTTTTCAAGCTAGCTATAGGTTTTGTATAATGGTAAGTAGGAAAAGATTCCCTTAATTTATCATTATTTTATTTAGGGTCAGGTAACGGACCCATAAGCGTGTGAACTTCTCCAAAGATAGAAAAAGGAATTAATACATGGGATTTGTAAATGTGCAACTTCTTCACTTGTTATGGAGGTTCATGAATATACTCTTGATTCCCAATAATGATTGGATTTGCGATTTTGGTAGAAAGAGGCAGATACTCTCTTGAACCTTTAAAATCCTTTGTGTTCTTTGATTTTGAAGTGACCATGGTGAAAAATGGTGAATGATTTGGTGAAGAAGAAAGGTTTTTTTGTGTTTCTGGAAGGTAAAAGTTCAGGAGCTTATTGAAGAATATCAGAAGTTGAAAATAGAAAAAAAGGAAGAAATGAAGAAGAACGAGTATTTATAGAAGGAAAATAGGGAGACTCTTAAGTTGCGTCTTGACATTAGGAGTTGATCGTGGGACACGTGTGACTTGCCTAGGGGTTGAATCAAATAGTTGATTTGTGTGGCACACGTTTTCCTTGAAAATAGGAGCCATGATGAGATTTTTTGAAGTCGCACGTCTCGAAGTGACGTTTGATAAAGTGGTTATGATGACCATGACGTGAGTACAGTGTTAGTTGTAGTGTCGAGAGAATTCAAAAAAAGACCATTATCCCTGGTTAGTCGAAAGTGGTATTTTTTGGGAGGCAATTTGTTACCAAGAATCTCGACCATAATAAGCTCATTGAAACGAGAAGGAGCTCAGAGAAAACTAAGTAGAAATTAGAGAATCAGAAGAACATCTTCGACGTAACCTGATCGAGTTCAGTTAGTCGAAGTGTCAAGCATAAACATGAGGACTTATCGTTTTCTTATAAGGACTTCAACGATAACCAATTCAGTCAAGTGTTTGACGGAATAATTGACACACATCTTCGACATTAATGGATCCGATAGGAGGAAAGCTTTGTAACTGATTTTTGGTCTTATCCGAAAGTACCACGTGGAGGAGAGTCCAAGGACGAAATGCATGCAACAAAGACGTGTCGATCTCCAAGAAGAAATCTATTGGAGACAGTTATTTCTAGTATTAGTATAAATAGGAGCTTTAGTGTTAGGATTCAGGGTGTTGAATTTACTATAAAAAGTTTACTATACTCAAAGTACCCAATCGAAGCGAGAAACAAGTCAATTGAGTGCAACGTACGTATTCGAACACCAATTTCATTCAATTCAAAGTCTTTTACATTAAATTTAACTTTTCTATATTCTAGTTCATTTAATTTCAATTGTCAAGATTTTGACCATTGTCGAAGTCTTTTACCTTTCTAGCATTTTAATTTTATTTTCTCTTACTTTAGTACCAAAATTCTGCCTATGTTGAAATCCTTTACTTTTCTCACAAACTTGCACAAAAGTTAGAAGAATTTATGCACTATGTTCTAGGATTCACTAGTCGATTCTGTGAGTAAACTTTTAAAAAGAGACTAGTCGTTGTTTACCAAATTTCACGATAAATACTATGTTAATAAGTTTATCACTCATCCTAACAAAGGTACAATAAATGCTTGAATGAAAACTAGAGTGGAGAGAAGGTGCCTTGAAATATAAGGTCGAATGATGTAAAGCAAAGAAGAAAGCTGAAAGTTGAAGCTTTGAATGCGTGACAATGGTTAGTCCTGGAAAAACGCTCTCAAAGAAGAGGGAAAACCTCAAAGGAAATAAGGGAAACTCAATCTAAAAGGTTGTGGAGAATTTCTCCAAATTTCCTCTATCCTTATATAGGTGAAGACAATCGGAAAAATCATATTGAAAGTAAAAAAGCAAGTGCAAATCAACATCCCGATTCCACCTTAGAAACACAACCAAACTCAAGTGCACTCGAGTACACAACAAGCAGTGCCACGTCACTCTTTGCCTTTTCAGATCACTCGTCAAGAGAAAAAGACGAAACATTTCAATGATTGAACTGCATTTAATGCCCACGTTCCCAATTACGCTTTGACAAAACCAAATCAATGTATGGCATTCGGTGCATGGACAACCATTTCTAAAGGCCGACCACGACTGCTAAAAGACTCCCCTGACATCCAGAGTACCCGACGAGTCTTGGGGACAACTATTTTGTGTCGGCCAAATGCTTAATAAGATAAGACCCATCATTTATCATGTCCACTTCATTGAACCCAATGTATAAATACCTTCACAAGGGAATTTTCAAGCACGCAATTTCTAATCTCTACCCTCACTACAATTATCTTAACCTTAAACTAATTTGGACGTTGAAGTGCTAACCATGCAGGAATCCAATTTGAATTCTCAACCTAGTCTATTTGCCGGAGTGACAACCATCGATGAATAACAGACTAAATCAATTAAAAATTAGTTTAAATATTTCTTTATAAAAAAATTATTTTAACTATTTCACTTGTGATATAATTTTTTTAAATATTATAATTTTAAAAAATTATTAAAATTAAAAGTTATAATTTAAGTATACAGTATTATACTTACATTAAGACCATATGAGAATTCAAGTCATAAAGTATTATAATATTAAAAAAATTATTAAAATTAAAGTTATTTAAAATATTTTTTAAGATAAATCTCTTAAAAAATCGTATGACTTATATTATATCAAAATATGTGAGAGTAGAAGGAATATGGAGGGATTAATTTGGATTGAAAAGGTGTGCGAGGCGTGAGACAATTAACATAGAAGGCGGCCTCGTTAATGTTATCCTTTCCAGCTCTCATTTTCCCTCTTTGCTTCTGAACTGCCCATTGCTCCATTCCACACTCGGAATTCAGTTCACCGCCACCTCAAACCATTCTCATTTTAATTTCTTATCCCTGAATGGAGTTACGAGCCACTACTATTGTTCTCCAATCATCATGTTCTTATTCATCCTTCCATTCTCTTCCGCCCAAGTTTCTCAATCTTAAACCTCCTCCTCCAGATTCACCTTCTCCCTTATCCATTACTACCGCCAATTCATCCTTCCCTTTCTCTTACAAATGTCGTGATTCCAATGGAGGTGACGCCGTAACGGTGAGTAACGAGGTGCTAAATGCTTCCTACCAGAAGACAGATAACTTTGCTGAGATAGGTCAGTGCTTCAATCCAGAGTCAGTTGCTCGTTGGCTGCAATTGTGTTATGATGTGGAACAAGTAGGAAAAATACACACAATTGTTTTGAAATGTTTTAGAGGTTCAGGTACTTATGTTGATAATAATTTGATTTCTAGTTATTTAAGATTGGGTAAGTTAGCTCGGGCACGTAAAGTGTTTGATGGCATGCGGAGAAGGGATAAAGTTACATGGACTGCTATTATTGATGGGTATTTAAAGTTTAACTTGGATGGTGAAGCTTTTAAGTTATTTTGCGGTTCAATTAAGCACAGGGTTCGACCGAACAGTAAGATGTTTGTGTGTTTCATGAATTTGTGTTGTAGGAGAGTGGATTTAGCTTTGGGGAAACAAATCCATGCTTGTATCTTGAAAAGCAACTGGAGGAATTTAATCGTTGATAGTGCGGTTGTTAATTTTTATTCGAAATGTGGTGTTATATCAAGTGCGTTTAGAACATTTGATCGTATGGAAAAACGAGATGTGGTATGTTGGACAACAATAATTACTGCTTGTTCCCAACAAGGGCTTGGACATGAAGCTTTGTTAATGTTTTCACGGATGCTATGTGATGGGTTCTTTCCTAATGAGTATACTGTATGTGCTGCACTGAAGGCTTGTGGAGAAAATAAAGCATGGAAATTCGGGATGCAGCTACACGGTGCCATAGTAAAGAAAATCTGCAAGAATGATGTTTTTATAGGAACTTCTCTGATTGATATGTATGCAAAATGTGGGGAGATTGCGAGTTCTAAAAAGGTGTTTGAAGGAATGAGGGTTAGAAATACGGCTACTTGGACGTCGATTATATCAGGGTATGCGCGGAATGGGTTTTGCGAAGAGGCTTTAAACTTTTTCCGATTAATGAAGAGGAAAAAAGTATATGTTAATAAATTCACACTTGTATGTGTTATGATGGCTTGTGGTACAATTAAAGCTTCACTAATTGGAAGAGAGGTTCATGCACATAAAATCAAAAGTATTGTCCATACTAACATGTACATAGAAAACACTTTGATATGGTTCTACTGCAAATGTAAACAATACTCTCATGCTTTAAATGTGCTCAAACATATGCCTTTTAGGGAAGTTGTTTCATGGACTTCCATTATCTCCGGGTGTGCTAGCCTCGGGCTTGAAACCGAGGCTCTGGTGTTTTTGCGGGAAATGGTGGAGGAAGGTGTGTGTCCTAACTCGTATACTTACTCATCAGCTTTGAAAGCTTGTGCAAAATTAGAAGCTCCAATGCAAGGAAAATTGATTCATTCCAATGCAAGCAAGACCCCTGCTATATCTAATGTATTTGTGAACAGTGCTTTAATATATATGTATGCAAAGTGCGGATATATCGCGGATGCTTTTCAAGTTTTTGACAAGATGCCAGAGAGGAATTTGGTTTCTTGGAAAGCCATGATCTTGGGTTATGCAAGGAATGGGCATAGTAACAAGGCTCTAAAGCTCATGTATAGAATGCGAGCTGAAGGTTTTGTGGTGGATGATTATATTTTTTCGACAGTTCTTACAGCGTGTGGAGGCATCGACTGTGGAGACATTGATTGGGATCTCGAGTCTTCTGCAAGACTGTAGACTAAGGGAATGAATCTAATTAGATATGTATAGGAAAGAAACGATATAGAATTACTCCGCTTCCTTTATCATTTGAATCAGAGTCTAATTGTTATCGGTTACATGATTTCTATGCAAGACCGTTATGATCCCCAACTCTTCACTTGGGTAAGCCTTACTTTTTGTGGTGTCCTTTATCATATTATTAACAAGCTGATTCTGAAATACCCTTTGGTTACCTGCAGCAACATAGTCTGGTTGCACCAGAATACAGACATAGTTTATGCCATGGATTCAACTTGGAAGTTTCATTCCAATGTATGTTATTGCTATCATTGTCTATGATTAGAGTTAATGAATATATCTATATTCCTTTGGTAAGTCCTTTTAGGGATGTAAAAGACCTAAACCAGTTGATCCATCCTGACCCATAAGCTTTGGGTTGGGTCTGACCTAAGGCGTTGATCCTAAACCAACCTTCATATTTGTCTGTTTGCATTTGTTTATTTAGAATAAATGTAAATAATCATCTTTAATTTCGTAGTTTCTGAAGAGATTCTTTTAAATTACATTCTCCTGAAATAAAGTGGAAATTTAGTAGTTTCTGGTGAAATAGTTTTTTTAAAGGCATTTTAAGTAATTTAGTAGTTTTTTTACATCCGAGAGAAAAGTTATGTTGGAGAATTTGTGGGCGCACAATGTGTATTCTCCCCCTCTTAACTGATGTTATTTCAAAACACGAGACAAAAACCTGTTTAATTAACATGTTTGAGTCTTGCCATATTTAGACAACTCACTTTTCATATTCATAGAAATTTTTAAAGAATTGTTTGGCCACCATAAGCGTTACTTCTTCCCTCTAGTGAAAATCAAAATTAATCCTGTTAAATCATAATCTTTTGTTTATTGGGCCTGATCCATTTAGCTCTTGATCGGGGAAGATTTAACATGCCACCCCTTGAATTATACATCGCACCTTCTATTTTTCGTTATTCTAAAAATGTTTCAAAACAAATTGGATGGATGTACAAGAACGAAATTTTCAATTTTTTTTGAAATATACTGAAATTTTCGGTAGTGTAAAAAAAAAACGTTTTTTCTTAAAAATAAAGTACCGGATTTTTTGAAAAATCTAGTATTTTTTCGAAAGTTTGGATTATTTTTTTGGAAATTTCAAAAATCCGGAATTTTTTTGAAATTTCCGGTAAAATTCATTTTTTTAAAATTTTTAAATTTAGTGATTGTACACAAGATGGTAAAAGCATATAAAATGAGGGGTGTCATGTATAACTCTAGGAGTAGGATGTTAAAATCTCTTGATTGGGTTATGTCTTTAGGTCTTTTAAGAATTCTCTTATACATGGTTTTCTGCTGTAACCTTTTTTTTTCTAATGAAAAATATTGTTCTGTTTAATTTTCTTTATGTTAATGCTTTCAATGCCAAATATTAACATGGTATCATGAACTAAGAGATTACTCTGATCTTTTTCAATCCATTCATTGGTGGAAATGTGTTGCTTTCACCACCCATTATCATTTTTTTCTTCACGTGCGTGTTTTCATCATGATCTTTTTCGTGAGTCTTTTGTTTAAACGACATTACATATTTGTTTTTTTCTTTCGACCTTTGCTCTCTCTGCACTTTTCATCATCGTCATTGTTGAATCTTGGATTTTCGATCCATATTCTCGTTCTTTGACCATTGTCCTCGCGTTATTGATGGTTTTTTTTATTCACAAAACCTAATGTTTTTCCCTTTTCTTGGTCCTCGTGTTTTCTCCTTTATTCGACTGATTCTTTCCCGAATTCATCTGTTTTCTTTTCCATTCACCCATCATCATGCCCGATACTAACGACGATTCCTCTGAATCTTCCAAGAACACCGATTCAACCCCTAAAAACAACCACGAAACCGTTCGAAACTATCAGAGCAACATGCTTGATCCCTTTTACATGCCCCCAACTAATAATCCCGACCTTTCAATTGTCTCGCCATTTATGAACAATACAAACTTCCACTCTTGGTCGCGTTCCATCAAGCTTGCCCTGTGGTCCAAGAACAAATTAGGATTCATCGATGGAACCCTAATTCGCCCAAATATCTCTGATTCTAACATCTTGCGTGGGACAAGTTCAACAACATGGTGATGGCTTAGCATACTAATTCCATCTAGAAAGATATATCTGAAAGCGTTATGTAGATGGATTCTGCGAAAGCTATATGGATGAGCTTCATGAGAGATACCACCAAGGTGATATTTTTTGGATCTACGATCTTCAAGAAGAAATCTATGCTCAAAAACAAGTAGAACAAACCATCACTCAGTATTTCACCACCTTCAAGAAACTTTGGAAGGAATTTGACAATTTTTGGCCTATTCCCAATTGTACCTGTGAACTTGATTGCAATTGTCTATTACTCTCCACTATCAAAGCTTACCGCGATAACGACTACGTCATTAGATTCCTCAAAGTCCTCAATGAATGTTATGCTCTTGTGCGCATTCAAATCATATTGATGACCCTTTTACCTCTTGTTAACAAAGTCTTATCTCTGCTCATTCAGCATGAAAGACAACTTATCCAACCTCTTGAAGGCGACAAACTCGTTGCTCAAGTCTTAAAACATTTCCAAAAAAATCGACCTTCTGAATAGACTTTTAAGCCACCAATATACAACAAACCCAAGGGTCTCAAAATTTGTACTTATTGTAATAAACTTGGCCACACAATTGAAGTGTGTTTCAAAAAGCACGAATTACCACCGTATCTGAAGAAACCTTAAGTTGCCCAAGTTTCCATAAAAGACCAGCCACAAGAATCCTCTGAAGAATATGAACTTGGTAATCATCTTTCTGTCTTCACTGCTGATCAGCAGCGTGCCCTACTTGCTCTACTGCAACAAAGCACCACTCCCTCTACTAACACGATTCAACACTTCCCCTCATCTCAAAGCTCCAAAATAGGTATTTTTATCCCTTTTAGTAGCATAAACATTATTGCCTCCCAAGAATGGTTATTAGACACTAGGGCCACGAATCACGTGTGCCATTCTAGGTCTTACTTCTCTTGCCTTAAAATTGTTAGAACAAGATTTGGTTTTGCAATATTATCTGAGTTTTGATGATAACAAATGAGTATATTTGTATGAACAATTTTGATACTCTAATATTTGTTATTTTTTATTATTTAACAAATAGGTTCTGCTTATGATGGATTGTGTGGCCAAAATATTAGAAGAGAATTAGTTCATCTTTTGAGCTAAACAAGTTCTGATGAACAGTAGTAAGACACTCCAGAAGACTCTGAAGTGTAGGCTCTGATGTGAAGTCTAAAGAAACTAGTCAGAATATCTAAAGACAGAAGTTCTACTGAAGTTCAGATGCTAAAGATTCATGTTTCTAAAGACAATGTGTTCTAAAAAAACCAATCAGAAGATATGAAGATATAAGTTTCTACTGAAGTCCAGATGCTAAAGACTTATGTTTCTGAAGACAAAGGGTTCTCAAGACAAAGTGCTAAATATTCTAAAGACCCAGTTCTGAAGACTCTCAAGACTTAAAGTTATGAAGACTCAAGGTTCTAGAAAAGTTTCTCAAGACCAAGTGCTGGAGATTCTGAAGACAAAGTTCTAAAGACTTGAAGTTCTAAAGACCCAAGGTTCTAGAAAAGGTTCTCAAGGCCAAGTTATGAAGTTTCAAGGACAAGGTTCTGAGTGAACAAGTTCTGACAGCTGAAGACTTGATTATCTAGAGATTCAAATGTCACGATTCATCATTGTGTAAAGACTCTTTTTCAATAGCCAACGACTCTATTTTGCTTGGCTATATAAGAAAAGGATCATATGCTTAAAATGTTGTTGGTGTTCAAATCTTCAAATGGAAGTTGTCATTGTTGAAACACAACCAAAAATTATCAACCAATATAACAACAACAAGAACAAAAAATAGTTCTTGAATCATATTGTTGATGATTACAATATAACAATGAAGTCATTAATTCGCAATGTGCTTAATTTCATATACTGCAAGAAGCTTGGTAAGCTGCAAAAGATAATGAAGATGATCACGGAAGCTCCAATTACAAATCCACAACATGAATGTTGTGATTTAAAGTGATAATTGAATTAAATAGAACAAGGGTTGCTGTCCAGAATTTTCTAAGGTGAATCAAGATGAAGAAGTTCTTCTCTTTACTACATCAAGATCAACAAAGTTTTCAGAAGCTTATGAAGAAGAAGACTTCAGCAATTCAAGGTTATCCGTGAAGAAGTTACTTGAAGAAAAGAAGACCACGCATTTGAAATAAAATACAATGTAATATCATTAGTGTGCATTAGGATCTTCTTATGTACTTAATTGATTTTACACTTGCTTGCGTAGAAGCATTCTCTTGTAAACAAACCTTGTAAAAACAAATAGTTGTTTATTCCTTCTAAAGGACTAGTTAGGTCAGAAGCTTTAGAATGTATTGTGTTCCTTCTAAAGGATCAGTTAGGTCAGAAGCTTTAGAAGGTATTGTGTTTCTTCTAAAGGACCAGTTAGGTCAGAAGCTTTAAAAGGTAATGTATTCCTCAAAGGACCGGTTAGGTCAGAAGCTTTGAGAAGACTAAGATAGTAGTTTTAGTGGTAGTTAGTCACAATAGTTGGTTGTGCAGGATGTAATTAGTTTGATTATAGTTGATTAAGTCCTTGAGTTCAAGGCGAAATCACTTTGGTAGGGTGGACTGGACTAGCTCGAGGATTTCTCAAGTGAAGCAGGATATATCACGTGTTCTTTACTCTTGCTTATGCTTTACTATTTATGCTTCCACAACATATTCGAAAAAGCATCACTTAACACAACATTGTTAAGAGACGAAAGTTTACTATGAATGGAAAACCCAATTCACCCCCCCCCCCTTTTCTTGTGTTTTCTTCACACCTTCAATTGATATCAGAGTCCAGTTATGTTATTGATGGATATCAAATACCTAACAGTGTTAGAAGAAGATCCAAATGTTGTGTGAAGAAATACTCTGG